CTCTCTCTCTCTCTCTCTCCCCGCCGGCGTGTCACATTACCTTGGTACAGCAATTGCCTCCCTGCCGACGCAACCACATTGTCCTACAATACTGTACCTTGCCTTGTCCCTCGTTTTCTTCAATAAACAATGATAGAGCTTCGACGGGGATGTCGCCGCCGGTCGTCCGGCCGGCCTCCCCGGGGAGTTCATCGGAGATCACAGGCGTTCCGACAGCTGGAAGATCGACGGCGCTGCCGAGCAGGGGCGCTACGACGCCGCTGAGGCGCGGGGGTACGGCCTCTACTCCCTCCACGCCGTCCTCGGGCAAGGAACCTTCGGCCGCATCCACCTCGCCTCCTGGCGGCACCGCGGGGGTGGCCTTGCCGCCACAGCATCATCGCCCGCGTCGCTTGACGACCGCCCATCGCCGCGCGGTGGGGGTGGGGGTGCAGCTGGAGCAGGGGTAGGCGCGGGAGAAATACGAGAGAGGAGGACAACTCCACGTGCCAGATATAGGATTTCCAGGGCTGCTGCTACCGCCGGGGAAGGTCCGGCTTCAGAGGCGTTGCCGGTGGGGTTCAGCGGGGCAGCGGCGGCGGGAGCGGGTACGCGGAGAGCAGACGGGCACCGCACACGCAGATCGATTCGGTATCTTGCCGGGAGCGGGAGATCGGCGGGGCGCAACAACAACAACTGCAGCAGTGGTGGTAGGAGTGACACGCGGCATCGTTCGCTCTTGTCGGAGGACGGGGAGGTGTGGACGGGGCCGGGGGGGGAGGGCGGGGGCGCGCGGCTGAGACTCAGGGCGTTGAAGAGCGTCTGCAAGAGAAAGGTCACGGAGAAAGGGCTGGTGCGACACATGGAAACCGTGAGTGAGCGCCTTGTCTATTAGTAGTACCCGAAAGCAGGCAAGCATCATTGTGTCTTAGTAAGACTGCTGTGCCCAGATTCGCAATTTTTTCTTCTTGGTTCGTTGAGGTTCGCTGGGCTTTTCGAGTCAAAAACACGTAATCCGTGCGAGCTGTTCGAGCTTGGGAAACGCCAGTGATGGCAGCTGGTTGCTGATCCACACCAAGACATGTCTTACTTTAGTCTTACATCACGCCTCGATGACACTACTATCATGCTCTGATGAGCCCGTTCCGGAGGTGCCCTTGTGTTGGTGTTATTATTCTGCTTTTGGGCCACTGATTCTTCGAGGTTACACGTACATGACGAGCCTGCTCTCCCCGCGTGAACAAATTCTCCCGTCCCCATATCGCGCCAGGAGCTGGCGGTGTTGAAGCAGTGCTCGCACCCGTTTATCGTGTCGCTCAGCCCTGGAGGTCAGTTCCAGACATCAGGACACCTTCACCTGGTGTTGAATTATTGTCCGGGCGGGGACCTGTTCTCTCTCCTGGCTCGAGTGGGACGATTGCCTGAGGCGCAAGTGAAGTGAGACGCACAAGACTGCTTGGGCCCATTTATTCCTCTTGCTGTCGTTGCTGCTGAATCTGTCGTCTGTGTCATCATCGTCGTCGTCGTCGTCGCTGTTGCTGTTGCTGTTGCTGTTGCTGTTGCTGTTGCGAAGGCAGCTTCGTTGCCTCTCTCTGCCTCTCGGTTTTTCTCGTCGATTGTTGTGTGCCCGGGTCGTTTTGTGTGTGGCATGCTCGCTTGGATGAACCTTTGTTCTGCCGTCGTATGCTCCGGCTACACCGCAGGTTGGTTGAATGATTGAGCTTCTTCGTTGTGGTTGTGGCGGGAAACTATTATCGGAACGGAACTACTCCCTATAATAGAAGATATGACTGGTTTCAGGTGTCGACTGGATATAGGCTCTCAGTGGGTAGTGTGGCTAGGCTATATTTTTGTTCCGCCTTGGATGTTTTTTTGAACGTATTTCGCCTCCAGACCAAGCTTGTGGTCGGCGTACCCTCCCCGGTGCTAACCTGGTGCGGGTGTCGCCCGCAGTCGGCACGCTTCCCTTCCCTCCTCTGTTATGACTGATGCTGTTGCTGTGGTTTGCTTCGACGGCATCGACGGGTGCGAAATTTTATCGCCAAGGAAAACGCTCGTTTTCCCCCTCTACTCGACAACATCGGATGGTTTCACATCCTCGTCATAAGCACGAGTGAATGATGCCTCCTCGTGTTTTCGGCGGTTTTGTGGCCATTCGACAAAGGCCGTGCTCGCGTGCCTTTAGGCCTTCTCCTCTCTGTTGTCAGGCGCCGATTAGGTTTCTTGATCACCCCACGTTGCCCAACTTCCCCTTCCGTTGGTGCATATGTTGCCTTTTTGACGAAATCGTGTCCCTTTCGTCAGGGTGTGCGCGGCACAGCTGGCCCTAGCGCTGAGGCACCTCCATAGCAAGCACATCGCCTACCGAGATCTCAAGCCCGACAACGTGTGCATCGACGCCAGAGGTGAGGCGAGGCTGTGCGTTGAATGACTGGATGACTGGGGGGGAGGGGGGGCGGCGCAACACGTTTTCGACGCCTCATTAAGCGGACGCGAGCGAGGACGGGGGCAAGGAGGCGAATAGGTGTATTAGGTCCGAAGCAATCGAAGATCATGCCATACCTCTCGTTTTGACACTCGGCGTTCCATGAACAGGATAAGCACACAAGGCAACGAATATTATGTACCTTCATCTACCCCCCCCCCTGGGCCGACAAAACCCGGCTTCGTTTCGGCATCGTAGGGGTGCGAGGTCAACGGTTTGATGACTACGCCATGTGGTTAAATGAGTACACCCCTCCCCTCCTCCCCCCCGGTGTTTGCCATCGGGGTTGGGTTTTCGTCGCTTGGCAACGACGTTGTAAAACAAGCCAATTCACCTCGTGAACTCGGCAACCAGGTTACCGGTTTTTTTTTTACCTCCGTTTTTTTTTTTGGCGGTAACCATAATGGTGGGTTGTGTTAAAATGGTCAAGCACCCTCGAGGCAGTTACACAGTGCTTAGGGGATGATCGCACCACGTTGTGTT